GTGGTGGGGGGCGCCGGGGTCCCCCCCCCCTCTGGCAGCACCTGGTGAGTGAGGGCTTTTTCTTAAAGCACTGGGATCTGGGGTGGGCAGGGCACCCCTGACCAGGCTGGAAGAGCAGGTGGGGGTTGGGGGAGCAGGCAGGGGATGAGGCCCGGCAGGGGTCCCCCCATGATCCCCTCCCCCCCCTACAACCACTCCCCCCACTTACCGGCACGGAGCCCGGGTCCAGCTCCCTGCAGTGGCAAGCGGGGACTGCCCAAATCACCAAATCGATTCAGAGGCTTTGAATCAATTCGGACCTTTTTACTCGTCTCCCGATTTGGTGCTGAATTTCCGAATCGAATTGGGCCGAATCTCCTCCAAATTGAATCAGCTCCCAAAGCTTTGCACAGCCCTACTATTTAGTTGCAGTTATATGTCATTTCCACCTTTAAATCTTCATTGCTAAAGGTATAAAAACATAAATACATACACAAACACTCTATTTTAAATTTAAATGCTAGCTGGCCAAAAAAGGTGACAATTTGAAAGAGGGCACATAAAACCCAAAACATACCACTTTACTAATGCTCCCACAGAGATCACTGCATGTCCAATTTAAGTAAAGTTTCCAACCAATGTACTTGCTACTGAGACTGCTTGGACTTCCCTATCCAGTTAGCAGCTGCTATAAGATACTGAAGTTTTTATGTTCACACAAACATACTGTAAGGAAGTTTATTCTAATAGAAGCCTGTTATTTGTACGAACTTACTGTGCACTTAAGATGTTCAAGGAAACATCCTGAGCTGTAATGACTCTACAGCAGTGGTTCCCAACAGGATGTCACCAGGGACAGCGTGACATTGGCACCACTGCCACACACAAACTGCCCCATGCACCTCTTTTCAGGAGGTACAGAGCTGAACTGAGAAGCTGCTGCAGGAGAAATCCACACATCCCTGCATTACATTACATGGGCAGGTACACTGCTTCTGCTGTAGCTTTTCCCAGTTTGGCTCCAGCATGCCTCCTAAAAACAGAGGAGCATGGAGTAGTTCTACCTGCCCCATGTTTCCAGGAGGTGCTATGCAGTCAGACCAGGAAGGGCTATGGCAATACCACATGTTCTTGCCACAGACACTTCCCAATCCGACTCCGAGGAAGGCACACAACACAGTTCCATCTGCCCGTGATGGTGGTGACATACATATAATCAATTAGCACGCTAATTAGTAAGAGTTATAATGTTTATTCTTTTATTTATTAAGACTCAGTTGCATTCCATTTTAAAAGTTTTGGAGGGATGCTTTGAGCCTTAAAAAAGAAAAAAGAAAAAAGGTTAAAAACCAGTGCTCTACAGAATGAACTCTAGCTCCAAATGAACTGCCACTATAGAAGCATTTAAGAACACTACCAAAGGTACAACTTTTAATCAATCTATAAACTTACTGTAGAAGATTTCAGAACCTCCCCATTTACAAATCAATACATGTTAATCATTTTAGTTTAAAAAGCTGCAATTGTTTTATGAAGTTTAAGATTGGGAAAGCAACTTTACAGGCAAACTAAATGTCATGTTGGGACAAGCATTAGAAATAAAGTATCTCTTCTATAATAACTAGGTGTAGATAATGAAACAAGAGATGCTGCATTTAACCTCGGTAACCAAAATAGTTGGTTTAAATAGTGCTTTATCTGTACTTCCTAACTAACTAAAATCTTAAACGAGGGATTATAAGAAAAAGTTTGAACTGGAATATTAAACTTCAGGGGGGAATTTTCAAGAAGTGAGAAAAAATCCAGGACTCTAGGGCTCTAAACACTGAGGAAATTAACATTAGTAGACTTAGCATACTTAATTACTTAACCATACCCAAATTCACTCATGAAAAATCACCTACTTTTCTGAATATCACCTAACACCGCACTTGTTTTTAGAAAAAGGTGGAGGGTGGGGAAGGGAAATCCTAGAATTATAATCTATACAGTCTAGTAAACCAAGCCCTTATCTAAATTATAAAAATCTAGTTATAAAACATATAGATGAACATGACATGCAAGCTGTACCTGTACAAGTCTTCTAGAATTCCTTGAACATAACACTAGATAAGAATCACTAGATTTATCCTGGCTTCTGAAAAACCCTTTAAGAAACTATTAATCTTGATCATAGCCTTGATTCAAGAAAGGGATTATAACAGGTGCTGTGTTTGTAGACTTATCAGCAGCATGTGACAGTCAACCACCAAAACCTGCTTACTAATGTCTATGATATGACACATGGCTACTACCTAGCGCAGCTCATCCAATCTCTTTTGAATAGGCATTTTTACACAGAAGTGCGCAAGAAATGGAGCCGCTGGAGACAACAACAAAACAGCTAGCAGCACCAATGTGTTTTAACATACATTCCAATGACCAACCCATACAGAGTAATACAAGGAGCTTCATATATTCTAATGAACTATGCAACATGTTGCATGAGAAGGACTCAGCCATTGTTGAGGAAAAGACTGACACATGCACTGAGGAACCTCAGATTACTACAATAAGAACCAGCTTCATGCCAACCCAACCAAGATGCAGGTCACAGCTTTTCACCTATGCCATACAGAAGCCGAGAAGAAATTAAACATCCCCTGGGATGGAATCTTACTGACTAATCACACAAACCTGGTGTATTTGGGGGTTACAACAAACCAAACACCTTCAAAGCACATGCAGAGAAGATGAAAGGGAAAGTCAGTGCCTGCTACAACACACTTTGAAAATTGGTCACCTCAAGGTGGGAAGCAAACCCAACCACATTACAAACCACTGCTATGGCCCTGTTACTCCATTGTAGAGTATGCACATCTAGTATGCAAACAATCAGTTCATGCTAAGAAATAAGACTCTGCTCTAAATGACAGCTGTTGTGAAATAACAGGATGCCTAAAGCTAATATCAAAGGAAAGCCTGTACTTACTAGCATTGTACCACCTGACATCAGAAGAAAGATAGCAAGCCAAAAAGAGAGATCACAGCAGACAAGAGACCCCAGGCATCCACTCTATGCTCACACAAAGTAAGAAAGTTGTGTGACCACTAATGCACCATTGGACATGATGGCTGACAGGGTGCAACTGAGGTTACGGAAGGAATGATTACATGCAATCAGGTGCTCAGAAATGGACCTAAGACCCCAGGAGGACTGTTCCACAGGGGCTGATCTAGACTGCTCAACATGGCAATGCCCAAATTGACTGTGCACACAAACTGGAAGATCAAAAACAAACATGATCAAATGGGGCTGCTCTAATGACACAAATATATGCAAGTGCAGTGAAGTGCAGACTATGGAACACCAGCTCATTTGATGACTCCTTGATGAGACCTGTATGAAAAAGGACCTCGCTGCAGCAACTGAAAGAGCTCTTACTTGCACACAAATTGTGACAAAACATCTAGTTTAATTACAAGCACACAAAAGAAGAGCCCTGAACCAGGAATCAGAGTAGCAACAATATTTTACTAATTGAGATCCGGACAGGCACATTCAGGGTTTTCTTCAATTGAGCTAAATAAAATTTTAACCCTACTTGAAATTGGAATAAACTCAAATTTCACAAGCGTTAAAACAGGGGGAAGAAAAATTGCTAATCCTAAAGAATCATTACTAACTAATATGGTCTTCATAAAATACCATTTTTTCAAATACCATATTAAATCTGTTAATTTTACATCATGATCAAGCTGCATATATGAATTCCCCATGTTTAAGCCTCAGTCAGCTAAATTTTCAATGCTAAATAACAACTCCATTTAAAGCTTCTTGCTCCCTGCAGCAACTGGGTCCAATATATACCAACCAACTACATACAGTATCTAGTAAATAACAAACTGGTTGTAGGAATTCTGATTAAACATGCCTGCATTTGAACAGATCTGTGAAAACACAGACACCAAGAAAAAGGTATACTAGCAATCCCCCTATCGTAGACTCCTTAAACTTTTGTTTTTTTGTGGTTTCTTTGACAGTATATCTTAAACTGTTACCCAGGGTAAGATATACCAGCAAAAAGACTTACTAGGATAATCAGCTTCTATCTGTTAAAAAGTGGAAGTGGAGGATTAATCAATCCCCTAGTTTACATTGCTACTCCAGATCATTCAAAACAGGAAATCCATTTTAAAGATATCCATCATCCAATCTCTGGGAAAGCAAACACTTATGGTCAATTCCTACTCCCCACCTTTCCTCCCAACATTTCACTCAACTGTCCATGAAACCTGCTAGTTTACTTCAGTGACATTATAATCTTCTATAAAGCTAAAGTTTCAATAGAACAGATTAAAAATGTTCTGAAAAATAATAATTTCCTTTTCAAGAACTAGAAGTATTTAAGTCCTTCTAATACTGCCTGAAACATCAGTTCTACAACCCAATTCATAGTTATGAGTTGATTTTATACTTATAAAAAACTTAAAAACTTCAGTAAATATCAACATCTTTCACACAAAAATAAGAACATTTCTTATCCAGTGGGGGAAAGGGAATTTTCCTATTTAGGAATATTGAACACCACTTAACATACATGCAAAACACCACTTGTGGTTGCTTGGCAACTAACAAGAGACATCTAAGCAAACAAAACAAGTTTCAGGTAATAGAGACGAGACATTTAAACTATCCATAAGTAAATATAAGAAATAATTTGGACAACAAACATCTGTTCTTGCATATGAAGGCCACATTTGCTTGGTACATCCAGTACAACTATACGATTTAGACTTGAGACATGACAGTCTCTTGCACAGGACAGGTTTCTTGAATAGCCATTGAAGAACTTGCTGGAAAATGAGAATGGCAGTTTCAAACTATGACCTGGAACCCTACTCCCAGAAGTTTAGAAAAAAAATTACTGGGTATTTTTTCTTAAAATCTGGTATTGCCCCATTTCAGAACAAACAAAGAGAATGACCAAGATAAACTGTCCAAGCCCTATAGTAATAGTCACCAAAAATAAACAGCAGCTCCAAGTGTGATAGGAAGTCATGACATACTTCCAAGCACATCTTCTACCAGGATATAAAAATAACTAGAGACAGGAAAATCAGTACATTGTAGGTGCACATTTTTTCCCCCCACAACTGCTTCCATCCACTGGAAGTAAGTGGCATTGATGCTTAAAGTCCAGAACAGCAAGAAAAACTGTCAAATGCTAGTTATTAACTAAAGTAAAATCTGCGAATGCAGATACTTTTTAATTATGCAAATACTGTAAGTATTCAAATGAGAAAGTCACCAACAGCTTATGATGCATTGTTTTTACAGAATGTACCATTCTTAATTACCTGCTCAATCAAAATTTTATAGATATCCCTTATATATTCATGACCAAGAATGTTCCATTCAACATTAATACTGTTTAAAACTGTAGGACTGCAACTGGTCAATCCATTCAAATATTTTAAACAGTGAAGTGCTGGCTTCTACCTACTTACAGAATAATGATCTGCAGTTTGACAACAGAAATAAATTTAAAGGACTTAGAAATTGTACTATTAGCTACCTTTATAGATATAGCACCCTTCATCCATCAGTATTTAAGTATTTTACAATCTACAATCACTGGCATGGTCATGATGAATAAATCGTGGTTTGTTTTTTTTAAAGAAACTAAGTCCAAAATATTCATTTAGCAAACTTGACAATGTGTGTTGAAAATATAGCCCATTCTGATGCCATTTAAGACTAGACAATCCAAATAATAAATTGTGACTGCTTTTGCCATCTTGAAAACTGGGCTACTGTTCTCTCTTGTTCCAGTCAAAAGTTCTATTACTGGACATCACATGAAGCTTTCTTTAATAAGAACTGAGGTTCAGGTCCTGCAGCTAGTTATACCAGGTCTTAATTCTCCCATCAAAGCCAATAATCACCACAGGCATATGTATCAGCTTTATACAAATACAAGCTGCACTAGATTTGAAAACCAGTAAGATGGCAAATTTTCTTTTAGAGAGCTTAAAAAAAATGCCTACAATTTTTTCACGCTACAATTGAAGAAAAGACCAGTTTATCTCCTATAAGTACTCCTTTGGCTCTTGCTTCTTAAATCAGTAAATATTCGAATTAGCTTTCAAAATCAAAGTTACCTCTTGATATTTGTTCGGGAGTTTCTGTGGGACATATAAGTGAGAGTTCTGTGCAAAAATATAGGCTGCGAAGAAAAAAAATGGAAGAAGCCATTAAAACACTTCATCTACAAAGATTCCTACAAATTTAAAAATGAACAGGTAGATTAAAATCAACAATTACTCACTGCTATTAGATTCCGAGTACGTAGAAATCTATATATCTGTGTTGGTTCTGTGGAAAAGAAACACATGTTACCAGGTATATCCAGCCCCCCCAAAAACTTAAGACTTATAACAAATACTAAGAATATTCTGACAATCCTAAAATATGGGTTAAAGAAGAATTTAACAGGAAGTATTAAAAACCTAAAACTATGATATACAGATCATAATCCAGATCAACAAGTGAAGCCTACACTGCTGTATCTGTGGTCCGAACAAGATCCAAATTCAAATCCTATTGAAAGTCACAGCCAAGCAACTATGAACCATCCTTGATTTGCCACGGAGATGCTATCCCACAATGCACCCTTTAGAAGGTCAACAGCTGGGCAGAAGATGGCTTGTGACATAAGAGACCCCAGAGCTTGTTTTCTTTTCTTGTTTTAAAAAGTTGATCAAGAAAGATTCCACCCCACCCCAAATTAGTACACAACGTATCCCATATGATTCCTAAGTAACAGACTATGTAATATATCAGACAAGTTGGCATATGGTTTTAGTTGCTTTATGGCAAAATGAAACATCATTTGTGGAGGCAGCTGTACACCAAAATAATCTTACTGTGGAGTGACAATCAAATGACCTAAGAAACTTGTAGATATAAAAAGACTGCTTGTCCAGGGGGGGTTTAGACTAGGAAAGACTAAGTCCAAAAGCTCTTAGGTACACAAGACAGGAAAATATTGACTTCAGAAGATTAACTCCTGCTTCAACAAATTAGCTTTATCAAGAGTACTGACTGAGGACACTGGATTTATGATTTCTTATTGTATAAACAAGTTCAACACAAGGACTGGCAACCAGAGCTCAAGTTGCATCAGGTTAACTACAAGTGTTAGTTTAAACCAATTTGACTGAACCGGTGCAAACTGCTGCATGGACAAATCTTATTTTGGTTTAGGTTCAGTTTATTTCAGTCAGACAAACTGAATCTGTATAAACTGCTCTTCAATGGAAAAAAGACCCAGCTTAAACTAAACACATCCAAGTTAAAGTACAGGCTTCCTATATAATTAATGACTAACAATACAGATAGATTGGACGGCCCTACTGCCACCTTACCAAGATTTTTTTAAGCCAACAAAATTAGCATTTTAAGAATGAGATTTTATATATATGTGTGTGTGTGTGTGTGTGTGTGTGTGTGTGTGTACACGTGTATATAAAGAGAAAGACAGACAGAAATCTTTCTAATATGTTCTAGTAACAGGAAGCCATGATGCAATGAAAGGACATTTAAAATAAATGAAGAGGTCAGCACATTAAAATAATAGAATAAGGTGCCTATTGTAACAACCAGTTGTGTGTGTGTAGTAAGTGCTCCATAATGTGCAGGCACATTTGAGCAGTGAGATTACTTGCTTATTTCAACTCTGCACCTCCCTGTTGCAAATCACAAGTTGTGATACTTGTAAAGGTTATAGGTTTTAAACCAAGTTCAAAGATCAAAATAAAAGGACTGAGGAAAGGATGGGCACCCCGACAGAAAGAGGAAATAGTGTGTGGGGGGCATCATTTAAGAGAAGCTTTTTCACACTCAAAGTAACAAAAACGTGCTTGCAGTTTCAAAAAACATGAACAAGCCCAGCTCTGTCTTGAGGAGGCAATACTTCATTTTGAGACAAACAAACAAACAAACAAACAAACAAACAAACAATTACATTTTGCTAAAGCCAGGTGTAAAGCCAGTATTACACCAGGGACTGTTCGAAGCCCACCTACCTCCTATATATTTATTTATTCACCTACTGACCAGTAAGCACAGGTGGAGGCAGAAAAGGGACGGGACGGTGAAACATCCTTTCCAACTACATGACCTTGAAAAGGGGCAAACCCTACTGCACTGCCCATGGTTACGCGTTCACCCCAAATCCTACTTCATAACATGCACCTTTTCACGCCTTAACAGGCGAACACATGCAAAGATGCTCGTGCGCTTTAAAATGGGGCTGGCGAGGGACGGTGCGTTTGCAGACCTGCCACCGAACAGCGGCGACCTTGAGCACGTCCCTTAACCTTCCCCTGCAGGTCCCGATCCGGGAGGAGAAGGAGGAGGTGTCCCCCTCTCGCCCGGGGAGCACAACCCCGAGCTGGGACGGAGGACGGGGGGCTCGTCGTGGCGGCGCCGCGCCGCCCTCCTCCCCCGCACGCCCCTTCCCCCCGCCTCCAAGGGGGGGAACCGCAGCGCACCCCCTCCCCCCGCGCGGTTCCGCTTCCCCTCCCCCCCACCCCCACCCGGCAGGCCCGGCGCGGCGCTCACTCTCGAAG